CTGTACGTCAAACAAGCGATATGCTTTTATCGTCACTAGCAGGTCATTTGAGCCCAAAATAGTCACGTAAGCTTATGATTTTAATGGTCAGAGAACAATAACACCTTACTTCCAGTTTATGAATAGAATGTCTCCATACTGAGCAGATCGTTTTATGGACCCTGGTGGTTGGTTTTGCTTTGGGACTCGTGTGACAAATGGGTTATACCGGTGCTCGAAACAGGGTAGCATTGATTTAACCAGTCATCTCTCTTACATTTACCTTTTCTCTTATATTTGAAAAGGCAATTGTGAATAGGGTGAATTGTGCCATTTAAACAACTAATGACTGGAAAACCGGATTCACTAATGCCTGCAAACACTGAAGTGGGTATTTGAGTGAACCAGAAGAGAATCACAGGATACACTCTGTAGTTCTCTCCTGAGCAAGTCGTGCGACATTAATTCAACACATTGATGGGCGAGGATATTCACTTATGCATGCGCTCAGGAGCACGCCACGTCAGTCAGGTGTTTTTATTGACATGATAGCCTATTAGTAGAGACGAATGTGTGTCAGACATGCGAGAAGGCCCGAAAAGATCAGTGGAGCCCTGACACCGAAGGCGGAATTTGGAGAATCGAATTTTCAGAAGTGATTCAGTGAATGCAAATGGTAATAGAATTGTGGAAACTGAGGACTATCTGGTTGGGGTGAATGACGTACATGCGTTAACAATGGCATCAACGATAACAAGGCAGCAAGTTGGATAATACGTCTGCGTTGCATAGAAAAGATGCTATGACATCAGGAAGGCAGTCTTGAGGTCTGGTATTGCCAAGTATGTTGAGACGTTGCGGGTTTTAGCTAACCTCCAGTGCTTAGTCACCTGAACTATTTCACTACTGCTGATGTTGGTCAGGCAACCAAATTTCCTGTTCCAACGGGATTAAAACAGTAGTTGAAGTACAAACGTAGCGCTGGGACACATGAAGTTGCATTGTTGGCGAAAGAGAAATTGTGGCATATTTCAGAACACTGTTGCTTTATCAGAACAGTTGTAACGAATATTTAGCATTTGCCCAGAAAATATTGACCGCAAAGAGTGGGCATAAACAAAAGTAGCCTTAACAACGACAGTGATTTCAGATTTACGAAGTCGCAGTTTTGCTTAAAGAGTTGAATTTCACTCACAGGAATGGTGGTTTGTTCATGGATTGGCAAATGAATGAGGGGAAATAAAGGCAAATACAATGAGGAGACGTGCGTAGGAGTTGTCGTCACCGTCATGAAGTAGGCATTCCATCATGGCGATGACGACAGTGGCATATTGAGTCTTATGTAGTGGTTGCGAAGTCCATTTTTCTTATTTGTATGCAGTCTTTATGAGACACTGCAATGGCGACGATCACTTGCGAACATCGTTTTGGCAACGGATCATTATAGCTTCTCCAGGTTTAAGCTGTCAGACAATTTCATCGGACAATCGGAACTGTGGTTCAGCCACCCGATAAATGAATGTTTGCAGTGAGAAGGGTCATACGCAGTACCGATTCGTGGGCAAGCTTTTGTGTGGTATTCAAGGTGTGAAACGAAATCCAGGGATTTTCTTGCGGTGTAAAGTTGGCAATTCTGGAATCAAATAGGTACAACTACTCACTTTTTATTTCAAAGTGGGGTACTTAAGTCATCGATTCCGAAGCCTGACACCTATGCTTTTGAAATAGTTGTAGACCTAACCTGCGGGGCTTGGAGCTCTCCACGCTAATTTTGTGTTCTCAGATGTCATGGTTTTCTGCCTCACTTGTGATTCCGTCAGAGGTACTCGAGAAAGATGGCCTAGAAAGTCAATTGACAGCGTACCAGAGTGTGCTGAACAGTGAGAAGTTATTCAAATTGAATGCAGAGGTTATTGACTAAAGTTACTCATCGTGTGTCAAATGAATCAACGAACCGCCGTTTCAAACTTACTATGGCAGATTTAGGCGTACTGGATTTAAATTACGCCTACGGCAATAACTTCTATATGGATCGAAACACTAATCTTTTCAACCAATTCATTTGAAACTTTGACATTATAATGCTTAAACAAACGGGCAGTGGGCGAAGTCAATTCTTTTCACGATGGTCTGATGGGTTAAGGTTGAAAATGCCAGTCAGGTGCAGTATTCTCAATATTTGTTGTCTAAGGTAATACCATCTTTCAAACCATCTATGATTTTCCTAGAATAGCCTTAAAGCAACGAAAAAGGGGAAGGTAAGCTCCAAACAAAAGGCGTGATAATGACATGAATTTGGGCATGAGGAGGGTCGGATACTTAATTTACCCGCAAACTGGGTCGCATTTCAGGGCTGGATAACGTGCTGCAACGTGTTGAGCGATCTCTACGCGATGGGTGTGGTGGACTGCGACAACCTCCTCCTCCTTCTCGGCATCCCCACCGCCATGAGCGTCGAGGAGCGTACCACCATAACTTCCCTCATTATGCAGGGCTTTCAGGTCTGTTCATGCACGTCTTAGTCCCCATGACCCCCATTGTCCCCTTAACATTGTGCTTGACTTATGGAGTGTCGCCATGTTTGCCTTGCATTCGGTCTGTCTGACTGCCCTCTTTTCCGCTTGTTCCAGTGTTCCTATTTGTCTATTTGTCTACCTGTCTATCTGTCTGCAAAAGTACCTCTCTTCTCGTCTAACTCACATCTGGCCCTTTTACTACCCATCCGCTTGTCATACCGGGACCGTTTTTTTTTGACTTTGTATTCATCTGTACTTCTGTGTACATATCAGTATACTTCTTAACCTATCAGACTACTTTTGTATGTCCGACTACATTCCCTTATATTCATCTGCCTGTGTTGCTTTGGCACCTTGGCTGTGGTCTCTGCCCTATATCGCTGGATGTCTACCTCGCTTCGTCCCTGCCAATTTTCGTACCGTTTGCTGCCACTGTCTAATTGACTCTCATATTGAATCACCTTTCCTGTCCGTCTTCCTCTTCAGCCATTCTTCTGTATCTCTGGCCGCTTAGCCTCTAATTTCATCACTTCCTATCTGTCTAAATCTTCATCTCCCTTCATTCCTACCTATGTTTTTATCTGCGTGTGTGTTCACTTTGTCCTATGTCGCTGCTCCTAGTCAATTGCTTGTACTCGTCTGTAAGATCATCTTACCTTCCACCTATCCCTCTGCGCACTTTTACGACCTTTTTTCTGTCTCCCCACCCACTCCCACTTTCTACAACTTTCTCTGTTTGTGCGTGTCTATTTCGGACTGACTATGTTACCAAACCCATTTATCTTTTGATTTTACGTTTATTTTTACCCCCGCCTGCTTATCTATCCATGCCTCTCGTTGTGTATCACTATGTCTAACTCTAATGTTCTGCCTATAGTTTTATACTTTCATCTGAAGCTGATGCCTTGCTTTCTCTGCCCTCAATCTGGCAGCATCCACGACTACGCATTTCCTCCATTTTCTTGCTGCAGGAGTGCGCCCTGAAGGCCGGTACAAGTGTGCGTGGCGGACAGACAACGTACAATCCCTGGGTCCTCATCGGCGGCGCCGCCACCGCCGTCGTCCCTGATTCCGAGTTCATCATGTGAGTCATCGTCTTCGCTGCCACCCCATTGCTAACACGCTTGCTGTCAGTGTCACGTAAGCGTGACTCCCAAACTTTCTTTCCTCCGCTCACACTCAAATATGGAAAGCATTTTTTTAATTTGCTTGTGATACCTCATCGCGCAAAATCTTATCCCAAAGCGATTATTTGGGTTGAAAATGGGAACATAACTGTAGAGCATCCATGGCCCAAGAAAAATACTCATTTGTTACTTTTTGAACAACAGTTGGATTGGTCGTTTCGGTAATGCCAATATTATAGTCAATGCGGATAATCAAACCACCGGCGTGTGATGCTTCATTCTCCCTGAAACCGTGGTAGCGACCACGTTAGCTCCTGATTGGCTTTGCAATCAGTCCGCATTAATGTGGCTTAGAGGAGATGTTTGTGGGGGCTATTTGTAGGCAACTTAATTTACTTAGACTGTTATGGTAGTTTTAACACAATTCTTTGCATAAAATCCGACTCATTACGATATCCATAAGCCTCACGCAAGTCTCGCATCAGTCAGAGCGCCCTCAAGAGGATAACCTTAGCGATACTTTAGCGTTATAGACATGTCCATTAGTAGCTCTCACAACGACACCACGGACACAGAAGTCAGAAGTGCTACTTGGCTGCGTGCGGGGCAGGGAGTGCTCACTGAATGGCAGTCTTTCTTTTGCGGTCTCATCGCTTTTGAAAATGACAATAATTTTGAATTCAGGCTCGAGGGTAAAAATGCCGTCCTGCAGATGAAATTCTTTGCCTAATTGAATAGGAAAACAGTGAACTCGGTGAAACGTGCAAAGTTAACAATACCACTATTTTATTGGTCAGAATAGGTCAGTGGTAGTCATCGTTGTGGCTATTGAACTGTATTGTCGTCATATTCTTCGTAATCGTACGAAATGCTGCGGTCATACATCTCGCATAAATTATTTCATTGTAAGGTATCTATGTGAATAGTAATGCAAATCGACCACACACAACTCCAGTACCCTTTGGGGGGATTCCACGATGGATGCGAAACACGTTGGAACACCTGTCTTAAGGTACGCGATATTGTTTGACCCTGAACGATCTTTTAACGGTGGAACCTGATCCGATGTGAGGTAGCTTGTACTTCATTATGATAAGCAGAACTTGTTTCCTGCGATTGCAACAGGCCGAATCAGGCGGAAGGGGGCAGTGTGTTGGTGCTGACCAAACCGCTGGGTACGCAACTGGCGGTGACAGCGTACAACTGGATGCTGGATCGCACCGACGTGTGGACTGAGAAGTGCACTCCGCGCATCTCCGAGGAGGATATGAGAAGCCTCTACAACGCCGCCACCCTCTCCATGTGTCGTCTCAATCGTAACGGTACGTGCTCTCGTCTACCACTGTTACAACTTTAGTAGCGCCGTCACTATTTGGATCTCCGATAAATTCTCCTACTCATCAGCAGTCAGTCAATTGAATTTGTAGTTTAGTTAATGCGTATTGCTGGCACATTTGCAAAGAATGCTTGTGAGGCTATAACAAGGACGACTCACCTTTTTCGTCACTTTTTGTGATGGAGTTTTCATTGGGATGTGATTTCAGTAGCTAAAATGCACTAGAATAGTGCAAGCTTAAAACACTGTTTCTAGCGGAAATGATTCGTTGACAGTCATAATCCCCCTCCCCATGTGGTTAATTCTCAGGACTGAGCTCACGTAGAGGCCACATCGCAGGAGACTGTTGGACTATTGTGTTCGGGGTCTCTCATTCGCAGATCTTCATTAATAATTTGTGTGTCTTGTTGTGTTAAAAATGCATTTTGCTCCTGACAGCGGCACGACTGATGCACAAGCATGGCGCGCAGGCCTGCACTGATGTGACGGGTTTTGGGGTGCTTGGGCACGCGCGCAACCTGGCGGCGGTGCAGACGGCGGCCGTGACATTCGAGATAAACCGACTGCCCTGTCTGGCCGGCGCGTACTACCTGTCCAAGGCTCTGGCTTCTCGTCATCACCTTGATACCGCACTGACTCCAGAGACCTCCGGTAAGTCCATTTCTATCTTCGCTTTAGCTGCTTTTCTAAGCTGTTTCAGATTTCAGAGGATGCAAATACGGTTAATCTAAGCATTTGCTTGCAGGAGTGGTGACTTCTGTCATGTAGCTGTGGTTGAGTGACCTTCCCCTCACATTGGCGCTTTTGAGTCGATTTGAATGTAAAAGGGTGAATGGTATGGTTCAATTTACGTTCATGACTGCATCAACTATATTAGGGTGATCATAATTTTCGTATTTACTGGATCTAATGGACCTATTTCCCCTCCTCACCAACTCCAATTCAGAGTCGATTTTGAGGTTAGTTTGTAGAAATGCGGGTGGCTTTGAGTGGTTGTTTGTGAGAATAATGGGTATGTGTAAATGAGCCGCAGTAAGAACTCGTCACTCTCCTGATGTGATTGGTCAAGCTTTTGGTATTTTCTGATAATCGTTCGTTTCATGTAAGGTGGTGCGGACAGAGTGCTGAACTTCAACACAGTGGAACATACGACAAAGTTCAGTAGAATCTTTTAGTTGTTGGGCAGGAGTTGGATTGATCAGCACGGTAATGCAAATGTCGTTGTCGCATGTGACCAGTAAAACTTGATGACGCTTTGGTGGCGATCGTCGTAATCAGCGTTGTGTTATGAGAAGGCGAAGCAGAAAATGAAATTTGAGGGAAAAGTGTGCTCTGCCTTCTAGGTGGTTTGCTAATTGCGATGCCAGAGAAGAACGCGGAGGCGTATTGTCGAGATCTCTTCGAGGTGGATGGCACGCCATCGTGGATTGTCGGTCAGGTTAGCGCAGCGGCCACACCAGCGGAGGCTAGAACCGCACGGCTCTCGGCTAATGTGGAGATCGTCGAAGTGCCGCACGAAACCGTTGTTCTGAAATGAGCATCTTCCCATCCTTCTCCATTCCCTTCACATATCACTTTCTTTGTAGCTGTGATGTTGGTTATTCCCAATGGGTGATTTCCGATGGCCCCCATATGACGCTGGCACACCAAAGTTGGCTCCCTTCGGCCGACATGTGTTTGGCTGATAGTTGGGGTGTGAAATCCACCATTTTTGTAAAACCGTCAGTAGTGAATGCTTGTCTTCCCATCTATCTCTTGATGTGTTAACTTGTAGATGTTTGTTGTGGGAGTGCGTTTTGGTCAGTCTGGTGAGGAGGGGGTGGCGCGGCCCGATTTGGCGTTTCCTTTGTAGTTGTTCGTGCTGCTACCCAGTGAAAGTCACGGTGAAGTGTTGTGAAGTCGTGTGGAACAGGAATGTGGCACAGTGGCCAGGTTGAAGTTCATGGCGTAAAGCATCGAATGAAGTTGGGGTGTGGGAGGGAGGGCGGGCGGGGTGATGTAACAAAAAATAAGGTGGGTGGTGGGATGACCTCTCGCTCAAGTCTAAAATGGTTGGCAATATCTCTTAAAACAGCGCTAAATCTTCCCACCTTAAACGCCATGCAATTTTGGAAAGTTGGAATTAGTATTAATGTGGACTTTAGTCTAGTTAGTTTGTCCTGTGAGCATAACTTCATTTGCATTGCCACGTAGGTCTTAAAAATTTCTAACTCAATTACGTTTTGACGATTTTATATAAAGTTTGGTTTGTAAAAAGTAAAAAATCCAGGACACTTTTGTTTGAATTGTTCAACTGCACAATCGTGAGGTTGAACAAGCGTAGAGCCATCCTTTAAAAGCCAATTTTAGAACATACATAAAGTGGGTCAAAGGCATTATGATTTCATTAGATGAAAGTATTTATGGGTGGCAAAATACTGCCTTGCATTTTTGAAGTGTGTAAAACTGGGCCTTTGAAAAATGTATAGTCGCATTATGACATTAGTTTGGAACTCTCAAGATGCAAGTTTTGAAAAGTTTTTTCATTCAAGGGCGTTCGTGGAGCGTCATAAACGTATTTTACATTTTAGTTTGACGAAGGAACTTAATATGAAATGGCTTCTAGAACTGCTACCAAGGAGCGTGTTCTTCATTTTTCTCTTTGATCTACTTGGCTGTAAGTGACGATAAAATTTTCCTGTTCTAGTTTATCAGCATAGCAAGCGTTGATAATCCTTAGCTTAGATTAATGCAGTGTATTATTTCGACTTTGATGTTTTCGCCTATTCTGCTTCCATTCTTACGCATTTTGTTTTGACAATAGCAATTTTCCTTAAGTACTCTTTTTCATGCTCGCAAAATGAAATTTAGCGTTTTTATCGCTAACAGTCACAACGGCATTTGTTCATGGGGTCTTGACAAAGCTAAAACTTTGCTGTGTTGTTCTTTAATAGATTTAAGAGATTGGGGGACGCTCGCGATGAAACCGTAAGTGTACCCTTACAACTTATATTTCGTTCTTTTTAAGAGTGACTATAGCCTTGGATATATACAGATTTGATGGTAGTATGCGTCAACGCATTCAAGTCATTACATTTTGCACTAATAAAAGATGTCAATGTTGATTACTTAGCAACTGAATTATGCTCTTTCATATTTCCAGCCCAAACGCAAACGAAGTTAGGTTACCTAAAACACAATTTGTACTCATTTCTCTGTAGCCGCTACTCATGCTACGATCTACACCTTTTTATTTTATGGCAAATTTGATGCTGCGTGTAAGGATGGGCACTGATTTGATCTTTCGACCTAAAATGTCATTATGCACAAAATATTTCACAAAAAAGGTGAAGTGACTGGAGGCGGTATAAAACAGACTAAAACCGTTCCGTAATTATGACAGCAGTGATCATGTATTCTGAACAAGAGAAGGATCATTCCACAGAAGTGGTCGATAATACCGTGACTGTACTTCCTATCTAACAACTATGAGAGGCATAAATTTATCGTTGAGATATAAAAATGTTCTAAACTCCATGGGTTCAAAAAAGCGATACTCGCAATTTAATGGGCACGCACCTTTGGTAACTGTGCAATTTGAAGTAAACACGCGATACACATACAGTTGCAACAGACGCATTGATTGCGGGCACTCCAACTTGACGCGTTTCAAGCACGTAGACGTAGTTTAGTATTAACGTGCACATGCACTATCACAGCCAATCGGACAAACACGCAAACAAATGGGTTTCCAGGTTGGGTTCTTATGACAGGACTGCTCGTTCAAGCTATCAGAAGGCCATGGGGTTGTGCGCATTCCTATTTTATGTCCACATTGATATCTGACGCTGCTGAAGAGCACAATAATCTAGTTGGCAGACTTGACATTTCTTGCACTTCATTCTTGCCTATCTCACAGGAGATTGAGGAGGAAATCAAGCGTCAAGGATCAGGGTCTGCATTGATTTAATATGACAGCAAAAAGAGCAATGCCAAACTGTTTGAGATGGTTAATGTTCTTAAACAGATTAATGCATCAATATTTTTAATGGAGCAACAGCCTAAATCCATTTCATGGGCTTAAACCAAGACCAACCTATTTACGACAAACGAATTTTATGATACCACTCATCCATATATGCCATCTCACATAAGTGTAGCTTCGAGCTCAGATAGTAAGGTCTGGAAGATCGGAGTATGTGAGGCAGATGGCAAGAGCGATGGACATCAATGTGGGTTAAAAATGCTCCAAAAAAGTCAGTATCTTGGCACCACTTTTTCTTTGATAACATGCATCATACGGCAGTATTATAAACCAGATAGCACCCGAGTAATTGTGATTCTGTGGATCCAATCTTGATTAAAAGTAAACAAGTTAGCGCATGTCAAAATTTTTGAAAGTATTTTTGCAATGTTCCAAATGAATTCTACCTCGTTGTTATGGAGAATATGTTATGCAAACTGTCGTTTATCGCACAGTGCCATGTTTTTTCCTAGTAAATGCAAATTGCACCTCATTTGGAGAAGCAAGGCAATGTGAGACTACGTTTTGAGACCTGGAAATAGGAAGTCACGTTAACAAATCAAGATGCGAAAGGCTTAATTCAAATGAAAATGCGATCGTTTTCCATTCATTGAAGTACAATATGTGCTTTGTTGGCAATATTCTCACTTATCTGTCTGTTTGCATGTTTGAGGGATGTGTTAAAACACTATGATGGATAGTTTTTGACCACATTAAAATGCAATCGTTGCTTGGTCATTTAAGCATGTTATGTGCTTTGCCAGCGGTATTTCTATTTATTTATTAGCTTCTAAATATGTTAACTGAATTGAGGTCTGATTTAAACTGCTCAAAGAATGCTGCCTAGGAATGTAGACGAGTTGGTTACGAAATGAGGTATTTCAAGTTAAAATAAGATTGCAAGCCGATTGTTCTGACTCATTCCTTTCGTTTTAAAGTGCAAAAAATATGGAAGTTATTACAAATGGTTGGTTCATAATAACTGCAAAAGTTAACTACTTTTGCTTTGAAAGTAGAAGCGAGTTAGATACAGCAATGGGATTTAATGTCACTTTTGATCATTTTTTATTACAGAGACATCAAAGGGGAGGTATCAGGTAAACGACACATCAATAAAGCCTCTCAGATATGCAACGATCAGTTTTTGATTTAAAGTAAATAATTTGAGGCTTGTCCATCCCCCTACAGCATCAGGAGGTTTGCATGCAGAGGTGCAGAAAAATAATAGCCTGCTTGTCTTTTGGCATGATCCTCCAAAAATAGACGCCGCGAATTTCCTGATCAAAGTTTGGGAGACCCAGTTACCCTCCAATATGTTGTACGAGTATGTCCCGGCCTCGAACTCCATAGGATTACTTTTTAAAAATCTGAAGGCCTACACAAATTACTCCGTCACAGTAACCGACTATCAATCGGGCGAATGGGTTGCCCTGGCCGCTGTGAGCAACCACACATTCCCTGAACGTAAGATTTACAAGAATCTGATAGATGAGTCTATGCAAGTTATATAACACTAAAAAAAATTATTTCTTAGAACCAGATGCTCCCTCATTCAGTGGGAGCACAGCGGACACTCTAGTCGTCACAATTCCACAAAATTGGCCTAATTTTTTCTACACAGCTGAGGTGCTTACTGCGGAATCAGACTCGCTTCCAAGTTGGCGCGCTGTTGCCCGTAATGCAACAGCAAATGCATGCAGGTTTGAGGGTCTTCGAGCGAACACTGGCTACCGAATTACTCTACAAAATTGTTCTCAAACGAATCCACTCCTTTGCAGCCAAAAATCCAATGAATCCCATATATTTTACACCAAACCCAAGGGTGAGTGTGGTTTTTTGGTTGTGAAATCCAGTTGGTTAGCCTTTTAAGGAAAGGCGGTACAAAAAAGTAATAAAGTTATTCGGAGACTTTGTGCTTTATATCCATCGCAGGACTTACCACCTCGGCGGCGATACATTGAGCGGTGAGCAAGCATCGATAGCATTCATCAAAATGCCAAACAATGACTCTAATTCATAAATATGTGTAACAGTGTGAGGCAATGAACACAGTTTGTTATAAGGGAAAGGATGAAATTTGTGTTTTCCCACCAAGGCTTAAAATCAAACTAGGTTTGATACAAGGATGAAACACTTGGTAGAAGTGGTGGAATGTGATTAAATAGTGTCAACATTCCGAGAAGGGCCAGATGTCTGAGATGCAGTGCTGAAATTAAGCCACTATCAGTCATTCCAGTGGATGAAATTACAGTGAGCAGAATGCCTGAATGATGTGCAACATTTCGTGCAACGAAGCTGTGTAAGTGACAAAATCTTCTGTGCGATTTAGGGTGTCGTGAAATCTGCCACGAGTATTAAAGGCTATGCAGATTTGGAGCACGTAGGAGAAGATGACGTGTATACACGCTGTGTTATCAAGGTGTGCCATCTTGAATACGACATTAGAGCGGGAGTGCATTGGATTGGACTGGAAGCGACTGTTCTGGACTAGAGTGGAATAAAATGGAGTGAAATAGAATGGAATGGCCTACTTACGACATGAGCAGTAGTTATCACGAGTAGTAAATAGACTCACTCTCTACTACTATTCACCCCAAGTCTAGAGAATCCAAATGCTTTAATTTGGATTGTACACTTAAGACTTGCCAAGATGAAATCACATTATCTTGTATTTCCCAGAAAGTTTCCATTTTATGAGAGCGCTCCTCCTAATTTCAGAGTCAAGTAGTCTTAGTCTCACCAATGTGACTAGCCGGAGCATTGGTGGGAATTGAATGCATCCTGAGCCCAACACAGAACACATTTTGAAGTACACGGTCACCGTTTAGTCTCAAGGCATCCATAACAAATCTAAAACTACTCACTTTCGAGCAATCACTTCATTCTTGAATATCTAGAGCTAACCACCTTGTACACTGTTCACGTTATCGCTTGTGCTCGTGGACGCTCCCTGAAGGCTCATTCGCATAGCACTTTCTCAACATGCATCAATTACAAGGTTCATTCAGCTTCTTTCAATTAACACCTTGCCTGTGAACCTACATCAACCTGTTCTGTCCCTATAAGTTTTTCTACCTTCTCAAGGCGTACTCCGAATTGGAATGCGAGTGAGTGAGAAGGGTCAGCAACACAGTAGTAACTAAAAATCACAGTGCAAGAAATACATGCAGGAAACGGCGTATTTCTTTGTAAGATTCACTTGATAATGACAGGAAGAACGAGTCTACCTAAATGATCTAAGTTGAATGTAGAAAAAACTAGAGTGAGAAGGACAAAACAAATGCTCTCCTGTTTTGTAACTCCTCAAACAGAAAAAAGAATTTGGTAAATGAGATAAAGCTCAGTAGATCTTTGTTCTTATTAAGGAATAAAAAGCATTTTAGAGGCAAGGACAGAGAACATATACATTGATATAGATATTGTGAAAAAATTAAATGTATTAAAGTCATTTTTATTATAGTGTTGCAATATATTTGCTTCTCCCATGCATTTTAAAACTACTTTGTATGAGGAACAGTAATAATTTCATCAGGGGACGTTATAAAATGAAGCTTCTTAAGAGTTTACTCATAGAGGATTAAAAGTGACTAGATAATATCAAGTTAGGACAAATCTTGCCATTATATTACAAATCAGACGATTGTGTGTTTCCTAACACATTCTCATATTTTAGAGCACTTCTCTCTAC